AAAAAAAACAATTTTTATGGTCCACTTAAAAGACATTAGATCATGATATATTTCCTAATCTAAACAATTATTTTGGCTAAATAGTCACCAAAATAGCGAGTGATTATAAATGATTGCAACTAATTTGATATAAAGATAAACTTAAATAGGGAAAGGTATTAAATTAAATTGGTCCACGATAAAATTTAATTTTCATAACTCCCATTAGGAATTGAGCCTAGCTAAGGCACCTACCATCTCCGAGACAAGCAAGGATGATGCATTTAAATAGTGGGTGTTCGTTGTAAATTGAGAACTTGATAAAATTTGTCACTTTGCAATTGTATACAATCTGGTGTAATTTCTAAAAGATATTAAATTTGCACTCCTTTGATATTTAACATTATTTTAAAATAAGAAAAAAAAATTCTCATTGAAATAAATTTTCTTTAAAAAATAATACTCATTAATAACTAGCATTATTTACACAAAGAAACGAATGCACAAGCTCTTAAAGTTCATCAAGATTCAAATTATTCTCATCAAGCAAGACTTGATAATGAGTTGGTTTGCTTGAGATGACAAAATGTTCATTAAATGGCTCATCTTTGCTTCGATCTTTAGAAGCATATTTTTAAAATGCTAAATTCATTAATGATAAATGCATTGTTGTTACTATTGTAGAAGATTGATTACTCAGGATAGAAAAGATCTTTGATAGTATACAATATTTAAAGAATCAGAAGCTAGGTACTATTAGTTGTGTTCATATTTGAGAAAGAGAGATAGTGGGTTGGACAACAAAGACAAATTCTAGGAAAAGACCAATGTTGAAATATCTTATAGCACAAAATTCATTAAATCTTTTTTTCTCCCTTAATTTTGGCAAATAAAGAAGTGAGAGTGAATTAAGAGAGAAAATAAGAGGAGAGAGAAAAAGAAATAAAGGATTTGGAGGCCATAGAAGGATTTATGCTAGTCGGACAAGTTGATAAATTTATTCGTCTCATTGTAAATAATCATTATTCTATTTTTTATTTCAATAATTTTATATTTTTGATATTTTTTTTATTAAATTTGTATTTCCATTACTAAAAAATGATGATAATTTTATATTGATAAAATTTTCACCACATAACTTTTTATATGTTATAGAGATTATGATTATGAATATTTTTAGTATTTATTTGAGATTTTTCACGAGATGATTTTGAAAATGCAATAATTTTTACATATTTAAAAAATTTATTTTGGCATCTAAAAATAGTACTTCATTTAAATTAAAGCTTCATAATGAAGTTTTACACAATATTTGTTAATTTGTAAAAATATGAATTTTGCTCAGTAAGATTTTCTTTTGCATACCGTTAGAAT